GAAGATACTGAAACAACTGTGGAACTTAGTATTTGTTAAAAAGTGGGTCTAATAGAAAGATTGCATTCATCTGGGGGATATAAAGTAACAAAATATGAGATTAATACCCAAGAATAGCTGAGATCAGCACCAGGAGGATTACTCCATAGCTTAGTGGCCAGTCGGGCATTCTAGAGGAAAGGGCAGCTCAGATAGAGAAGGGAACACCAAATAAAGGGTGTTTGGAGGATCCTCCCAGGAGGGGAGATGCATGTCGAAAGTAGACTATGGACTGAACATGTTTGCCACTCAATGCCTCTTTTGCAGACCACAACAACCCAAAAGGAGAGAGAGAATACAGGGGATTGCCCTGCCACAGAGGCAGGGGGGGATGGGGGGATGGGGGTGGGGGGGATATTATCCATGGTGGTGGAAAATGGGCACTGGTGGAGGGATGGGTATCTGATCATTGTATAATCAAACCCAAGCACAAAAAATTGTAAATCTACAACTGTACCTCATGGTGTTTCACTAATAAAAAAAAAATTTAAAAAAAAAGTGGGTCTATACAAGGGTCCAAAAACACAATGCAGAAAGGGCGTCTGCACTCCTGTGTTCATTGCTGTAGTATTCACAGTCGCCAAAATCTGGAAACAACCCAAGTGCCCAAGAACAGATAGCTGGATAAAGAAACTATGATACATCCAGTACTATGGTACTTGATAAAGAAAAGATCAAGTCGTGCAATTTGCTGCTATGTGGATGCGTCTGGAGGGCATCATGTTGAGTGAAGTTAATCGGAGGGAGAGAATGATCTCTCTCATATGTGGGATATAAAGAAACTTCAAAGGGTAACAAAGCCTGAAAGGCAATAGAGAAGAGCAGGAGAACTATTCTTCAGTAGGAAACTTGACACTGGATTTAAGCAGGTGTGTGTGCATGTGTGTGTGTGTTGGGGGGGGGGGGATAAATTAGAAGAGAACAGTAGGACATGATACTGGGGGAAAGTGCCTGCTCTAGAGGCAGTCTGGGGGATGGGAGGGAAACTGGGGAGGGGGGGGCATTGGTAGTAGGAAGTAGAAACTGGTGAAGGGGCTGGTGTTGGAACATTGTATGCCTGAGAGTAGACAGAACATAAAGAGGAGGAAAAAGTGGGTATATAGAGCCAAGAGATAGCACAGTTGGTAAGATGCTTGTTTTGCACATGACTGACCTGGGTTCAAGTCCCAGTATCCCATATGGTCCCCTGAGCACTACCAGGGGACCCGGAATTGTGGTTTTTGTACCTTAATGACTAGTAATACTGAGCAGCTTTGCAATACGTTCAGTGTCTACATAACCTTCTTTTTTGTGGAATGACAGTTCAAATCCTTTGATCATACTATGACTGGATTGTCTTATTGAGAGTTCGGTGTTTCCATCTTCTTCCTCCCACTTTGTGGTCCTTATAGTACTGTAGCTTGGACACATGATTGCTGTTGACCAGAGATGATAATGGGAAATTGCCAGAACTTGTGTCAGTTCACGTGTGGGTAGTATAGGGGCATACATTGCTTCGTCTTTCACATGCAAGTCAGGAGGTCCACACTCTACGCATCTGCATAATTTTTGTTTTGTTTGGGGGCTACACTTGGCAATGCTTAAGAATCACTACTGGGGCTGGAGTGATAGTACAGCGCGGTAGGGCGTTTGCCTTGCACATGGCGGACCCGGGTTTGATTCCCAGCATCCCATATGGTCCCCTGAGTTACTGCCAGGAGAGATTCCTGAGTTCAGAGCCAGGAGAAATCCCTGTGCATCGCCAGATGTGACCCATAAAGCCAAAATAATATTAATAATAATAAAAATCACTCCTGGCAGTGCTCAGAAAGACCATATGGGATGCTGAGGATTGAATTCAGGTTGGCCATGTGCAAGACAAGTTCCTACCTGCTGTACTATTACCCTGGCACTAGATGATTTTTTGGGGAGGGGTAAGGCAGGGATGGGCAGACCTGTGGGGAGCTGGGCTTTGAACCAGGACTTCCAGCATGAAAAGTATTTGCCCTAGCCCTTTCAACTATCTCTTTGAACCCCACATATTTTGGAAATAACTTTTGAATAAAATATGTATACTCCAAATATATTCTCCCAAGAGCATTGGCTTTATAAAATGTTGAGTTCAATATACTGATTTCTTAAATATTTTGCTTTGTGTGTCTATGAAACCTCTGCCTCTCCTGTGAAATTTTCCTGCTCTGTTAGACTTTTTAGAAGTTAAGCTTTTATGTTTAGGTCTATGATCTATTTCATATCCACCTATTTTTACATTTGGAATTAGGTAAAGATTGAGGCTTATTTTCTTCATATATATATTTAGTTCTCATGACATTTGTTGAAGACTATTTCCTAAGTATCTTGGCACTTTTTACAAAGAGAAAATATAACTTATCTACAAGTTTATTTTGGATTCCTATATTCACTGGCCCATGTCTATCCTTATCTCAATACATCTTGATTACTGTACATTTAGCTCAGGGCTTACCTCTGGTCCTGAGCTCTGGGATCACACTCCTGGAGGAACTCGGAAGACCATATGGGGTGTTAGGGAACTAACCTAGGTTGGCTGCATGCAAGGCAAGCGCCCTCTCTATTGTTCTGGTTCAGGCTGAAAACAGAAAATTTATATAGCGCTAGTTCTCTATTTTCTTTCTTCAGATTTTGTGTATTCTGGCTGTTTTACTTATATATTAATTTTATAACCAGCTTGTTTACATAAAAGACAGCCAGAATTCTGAGTTCAATTTCATTACCCAAGATCAATTTGGGGATAACTAACACTGACAAAAATTGATACCAACTTATTCCAATACTATACAATGATGGTCTCTCCTTGTTCTCTTAGATTTACTTTCATTTCTTATCAATTCCTATAGTTTTCATTGGAAAGGTCTTGTACATATTTTGCTAGTTTTTAAAAACTGTTTCAGATGATAGCTATTGACTTTGAATTTCCATTTTTCTTTGCAAGCAAGATGGAATTTCTTTGTACTAAAGCCACTTGTAATTCGAGGAGTTTTGTAATAGATTCTTTAGAATTTTTAACACGTTGCATCATGTCTTCTGCAGTTTTACTTCTTACAATATGCAGGCTTTTCTTGCTTGCTTTCTTTGAAGGCAAGGATCTTCAGTACAATGACAAGTAGAAATTGTGACAGCTGTGAGTTGTCTTCCCCAAAATCTCATGAGAAAAACAAACCATTATGTGTACTGTTAGCTGCAGGTGTTCTAGACACTTTTTATAAGGCTAAGGAAATGCCCTTCTAATGCCAGTATGCTTAGAATTTTCATTATAAATGGATGTTGAATTTAATTATACTTTTATCCCACACCTATTGAAATGATGATTCCTCCCTATAGTTTTGAATGACATTGAGTTTTAAAGGAATTGAAAACTTGTTTGTGGTAACTTACTACTAGATTTTTGTTTTGGTTTGGGGGAGACCACACCTGGTGGCTTTCAGGACTTACTTTCAGGCTCTGCACTCAGTATCATTCCTGGTGGGCTCAAGAATCCATATGGGCTGCCAGGGATCAAACTTGTGTGAGCAGCATGCAAGGCAAACGCCCTACTTGCTGCACTAGAGTTTTAGCCCGACCATCAGAAGCATGTCTTAAGTATAAAGAATTAAGTATATTCAATGTTGTGCAGCCAATCTCCACAACTTTGTTATCGTCCAAAATAACTCCGTCATTAATCCTCCAGTTCTTCTCCACTAATTCACATTTTTATTTTTTTTGCTTTTTGGGTCACACCTGGCGATGCACAGGGGTTACTCCTGGCTCTGTGCTCAGGAGACCATATAGGATGCTGGGAATCGAACCCGGGTCGGCCACGTGCAAGGCAAATGCCCTACCCGCTGTGCTATTGCTCCAGCCTCTAATTCACATTTTTAATTTACAAGTTTCAACCCATAACAAATTAAAAGTCCTTTACCACAGAAAATTTTGTGTTCTTTCAGCTTATTAATAGTGAAAGACATTTTATTTTTTGCTTTTTGGGTCACACCTGGCGATGCACAGGGGTTACTCATGGCTCTGCACTCAGCAGTTATTCCTGGCAGTGCTCAGGGAACCATATGGAATGCTGGGAATTGAACCTGGGTCGGCCGCATGCTAGGCAAACGCCCTACCCGCTGTATTATCTCTCCAGCCCCGTGAAAGGCATTTTAAACTTGTGCGGTTTGCAAATTAAATGTTAAAGTACACCAAAAAAGTGTCACTGGATATATCGTGGATGCTTTTTGTCATTTCAAGGCAGATCAAAATTAGATTGTACATTTTCTATTTGGTGCTTTTGGTTTTTGTTTGGGGGCTACTTCCAGCTCTGTACTGCTGTCAGTGGTGCTTAGGGTGCAGCAAGATGGGGGAGCATGGGAGATTGCACCAAGGGTTCTCCTGCAGGCAAAGCATGTGCTCTCCTCTTTGAGCTAGATCTCTGGTCCCCACAGGCAAGGTACACAGGAAGCAATTTATCTTCCTCTAAGCACAATGAAGACTGACCACTGCTCAACCATATACTAAGTACGCCTCTTATTTTTGCGTTTAACAGATAGCAAACATACGAACATACAAACATATGAACGTTTCTATTACTATTCTAAAGCTGTTCTCTGTGAAAGGAGTTTCATTGTTTTTCATAAAAATCAGGGCCAGAGAGACAGCTCAAGCGTTGAGCACACCCACTTGCAAAGTCCTGAGTCAAATCCCCACACCAAAATGCGCCCTAAGTGCCACTCAAGGGCGTGCTCTGGTGCTTCTCTGCCTCACTAGTCCTAGCGCCTCTGCCAAGAGTTAGCACATATTAAAAAAAAAATTAAAGCTCTACAACTTAATTTTGGTTAAATGCAATATGTTGTTTCCAAATTGATAAATATATGGCCATCATATGCATGTGTATTTTAATGTTTTTACCCAAACATGTCCTAGAAAGTTGAGACTATTTACATAAAGGGGGGAAAAAAATTTCTAACGCAGAAAAATACTGTATAATAGTTTTATTTTTCTCATTTTGCTATTTTTTTACATTTTATGCACAAATATTTTTATCTGAGTAAAAATAGAAAATAACTGTCTTATGTAAAATTACAAAAAAATAAAAACCACAAAGAAATACATAATTGTTACTATGACAGTATAAGTGTCTTTATTTAAAGAGTAAAAATGTATGCAAAATTCCTTCTCCCTTTTACAAAAGATTCAGAATATTTTCTGGCAGCAAGTGAAATATCACTGAAATATCAGTATTTTTACACCCTCTAGATCTGAAGACATCAAGTTAGTCACAGGTTATCTTGCAATTATGAACTTTAAAACCTCTTTTGTGCTATTTCAAAGATACACTAGTTCTTTTTAAAAGGCAGTAGCATAAAATGATAACTGGAAAACAGCATATCTCACCAAAAATAATTGGAGGCACAGTCCTTTAAAGAAATATCATTAAGTTTTTACCACTAATCAGGAAAGGGAAAAAAAATTCTTTCCTAATTGACAGTTGAGACAGAAATGAATGTGATGAGGTGAATCATGTAAGATCAACCTCACACAGCATTTCAGCAAAATTTGTCTGATTTTCTGATATACATATTTCCAAATGTCAGGCTAGCAATATGAATGTATCTAAGTTGGCTCATGAGAACATCTTAAGGAAAACAAGTGTTTAAAACAAAAGTGGAAATCTGTTCTTGTACTTGTAAGGTACAAAGGTGACCAGATCGTTTCTTTCCTGGAGTATAAATTTCCAAATTGAAAATTCATTCATAAAAAGCTAAGAATGAATAACATAAATGAAATCTTCGCATTGTTTAGTAAAAGAAATGACTGCCTGGGTTTATGGTACTTTTAATCTTAGTTAAGGAAAATAGAAATGTTTTACAATTTGAAGCAAAGTAATGGACATTTCTTGCATCAACTGAGGAAATCAGTCTAATTATCTACATTATGAAATAGAAAATAATGGTCAGAACGGAACAGTACAGGATAATACAAAACTGTTCAAATTATAATGAAGGAATAAAATACAATCTGTCAAAAGTGCGGGTGGGGAGAAGAAAAAAAAGTATGGTTTTAAAAAAAATTAGAATTACTTATTGAAGGGAAAAAATGTTTTATAGGAAACAAAAAATCTATTCTTATATGGAGAAATAATTACAACATAAAGGGACTATCTTCTTAGCAATGACTTTATTGGAATGTCTGAAATGTCTCTCCAAAAGGATTTCAAAATAAGTTAAGATTTTTAGGCTCTTGGGCCGGAGGTATGGTAAAGAGGGCACGGCACTGGCCTTGCATGCAGCTGATATGGGGTTGGTCCCCGGCATCCCATATGGTTCCCCAAGCACCGCCAGGAATGATACCTGAGCAGGGTGAGGAGGAACCCCTGAGCACCCAAGAAAAAAAAAAAGAAGAAAAACTGAGTTGTATACTCTTAATAACATACAAGAATATATTTTGTTATTTAAAAAAAAAAAAGACTTAACTTTCTCAGGCCATAAGACGATGGTGTAAAACCTGTTTTAGCTATTTGTACCTGAAACTAGGACGTTTACATATTACTCATACTGCTACTCTGCTTCAGGTAACACTGCAATCACAGCAGCCAAATGATACTAATAATTTATCAGTTTATTTTTTATAAAAAAAAGTAAAAATTGAAGTTACAAATTTTATTCTTTTCAGGTACTACTGCAGTCTTAACGGAGTCAATACAGTAATATAACAAAGATTACACAGTAGTCCTACATAGCACAGCACTTTACCCGGCCCATATGGTTCATCCCAAAGCATTCCTTAGTACTCCTAGTACTAGTGCCACTTAGGGCGCACCTGCTGACTATGCCACTGCATTACCATGGCCCCATCCTCTTAATAAAGCACATTAACTGAGCTTTGGGGGGGGATTTACAGAAAATGATGAAGGAGAAGGTGCATGAGTATTTGAGAATTAATCTTCTGGTATGGGAGTATGAAAAGCTATTTGCCAGTATCTCATAATTTGCACATAATACCTTAAACAACAACAATTTTTTTTTAAAAAAAGCAAGTAAGCAAGCAAGTGAACAACAAATAACTTTCTAGCCATTTCTATTTAGTGTTAGCTTATGGAAATAGTTTTGTGTTTATAGGAATTAAAGAATTAAATGAATATTATCTTTTGAAACATGTTTCCTTTTGAACATTATTATGTCTTCCTGTGTGGGTGGGTATACAGGTGCACAGGGCAATCACTCGGACATGGAAATAGATATTTGTATGCTCACACATATAGAATATGCAAAGGGAAATAATTAAGTGGGAAATTTTAAGAGAAGACTGCTTATGCTGAGAGTCAAAATTTCCCTTTAAATCTATTTGCAAATGATTTTGTAGTATCTTAAGAGGTAAAAGCACAGCCAATTAAGTTTTTATTTCATAAGAAAAACAATGGATATATAAGCTGTTTTGCATAGTAAACCAGCACTACAAGCTAAGTTAAACAAACAAACAAAAACCAAAAGAAAGCCATACCAAACCAAACTTTTATTTTCTGGTTGAGGTATATACCTTTTTAGTTTTTTAAATCTCTGACAGGAAAAACAGAGATCATTTCAGAATTTTTTAATAGTTGGTTTATTAGAATTAAATGCCTCTCATAAAATAATTTAAATTCTTGGTCTGACATTATGATGAGTCTACACAGAAAATCCTTAAAATTGGCTTAAGTTAAGCCAGATTGAAACTTGGATCTCCTTCTTCAGCAATGCTCTTCTGCCAGTCAAATTCTTATTGTCCTTTGCTTGCAAATATATAAATTAATAACTTGATACTCTTAGCTTAGTAATTATTATACTTTTATTCGATATGAATATTTTAGCTCTGCTTGATTAGATGATGCAGGCACACATGCTTCAGCTGTGAAAAGTTTCCTGGTTCTAGGTAAAGCAACATCTAACGCAGCAGAGAAGAAAAAGTTCTATTCTCAAAAATAGTTAAGCCAGACTATTTCCTGGAGATACTTCCATTTATTTTTCATCCTCAAGATGCTACTGGCTATTTTTGGTAGGGCTAGACATTAATACTGACCAGTTTAGCTTTCCTGACTGTTAACAAACTATCCCACAATTACCTTGCCTTCGCACTGAAGACATTGTGGTGATCCTTTAACATACATATATTCTAAAATATATGCTCAAAGTAAAAAGATCCAAATTCACAAGAGTATGAAATATTTATAAAAAAATCATGCATCAGATTGTACAGTCTAGAAATAAAAGAAGATTCAAATTCAGTAATAAAGGTGAGAGCAATACTTGCTCTAATATTTACGAAAGACCTTGACCTCCCAGAAGCTCCCGGGTTTCAATTATCCTTTTCTGTTTGCAGGGAAGCAGTGGCCAGGGCTACTGCTGTGACTGGTTGGGCAATTCCGTGGAGCTGCATTTTTGCTCGTTTCTTCTGTTCACATTCTGTGACCAAGCGGTTCAACTCTGCTGCACTGTAGCCAATAAGAGTCTTCAAATCACAGACAAACTTGTACACAAACCTCTTGCCCTGAACTTTACAAATCATGTCCCCATCATAATAATACCTTTAAAAAAGAAAATACAAGCCACATCAGAATTATATGAAAAATACAGACTGTGAACTTCTTACAGTACTTCCCAGAAACCCTGAAAGAGAATTGCTTCTCCCAAAATAGCAATAAATATCAAAATTACATATAATATCTAATGTTACACTTAAGAAAGCCTCAAAAACCATTGATTTACTAAATTCTCCAGTTACGTTTTCTCTGAGCATATTCCTTATCTATAAAACCAGGCTAAAACCAGTACTTACTCTCACTGGACTGTTATGGACTAAAAGGAGTGTTCCTGTAAAGTACTTAGCACACATAGACTGGCATACAGCTCTCTATTATGTTAATTAAGAACCCATCCAAAATGAAGAGGTCTTTAATAGAACTGATCATAGAGAGGTTAACTTTCACACAATCTTTTACACTATAGTGTTTCCTTTCCGGGAGGAATATAGACTTGGAGTGGGGGTGGTATTAGCTTCCAATACAACTGGGCGTGCTTTCAGATTTGTTATTTTCCTTTTTTGACCACAACTGGCAGCGCTCAGGTCTTACTCCTGGCTCAGAGCTCAGAGCTCAGTCCTGGAAGAGCTTGGTGGACCATACTGGATGCCTGGGATGGAAAACTAAGTCAACTGCATGCAAGACAAGCGCCCTACCCACTGTACTACCACTCCAGCCCATTTCTCCCACTTTAAAAGAAGGGAGATTCCAGGGAGGCACCAGAATTTCTCTTTTGAAAGAGAAATTATGTAGGTCAAATAAGTTTAGAAGCTTCTGCTTTATTATTATATAGCAATATATTTTCCTCTATATATAGTCTGTCCTTTCATAGAAGTTCTCCAAACCTAACAGGACGACTTTAAGTACACGTAAAACAGATGATATGGAAATGAGTAATATTCCTAATATTAAAAATACTTCTAAATATTCCTAAAATATTTCTAAAAAAGCAGTATTTCTAAAACCTATATAGTCTTATTTGGGGTCATCACTCTTGAAGTCTGGTTTACTGTTTGCTGTCTATGGAGACAGAGAAAATATTTTGGAACCCTTTATTTATGCTGCACATGCAAATTACAATTATGGGAAAAGAGGTTAAATCCAGTCTTTTTTGAGATGGCAGACTGAAAACTGCACTGTCCATTTGCTCCATTAGACAAAGATCAGTTACAAAAGGAACAATTACAAAAATAAGAGAGGCAGAAGGGATCACAATTCGGATGATTTTATTATAAAAGTTACTCCATTTAATCAAAAGTCCATTAATAAAGGACTGACTGATATGCAGCAAATTAAGTCATCACTTCCTAATTCTAGCACAGTAAACATATGATAATGTTCACTTTCTCAGTAAAAATGGAAACAAATTAGGCGCAGTCTGGTGTTCCTTTCACGTCAATTCCATTTTCTGTCAAGCCAGCCATCTACCTCACGTCAACTGACATAAAACTCAGATCTCAGACCACAAACTGATCGTTATTTGGCTTAAAAAGCTATTACAAAGATTTCAATGCCCTCAGAAAATTTCTATATAATATATAAAAGGCAATATTTTGAGGTCCTTCCATATCATGCTTTTAGTAGTTCATTTTCCTGGATACCATATACTGCATTTCAAAATTTATGCAACTTACTGGGGATTTGGTTTGTTTCTGGTTTGGAAATGCCATAAATATGCTATGGGTATGTGTGTGGATCTGGAAATGCCATAAATAGCTATGGGCACGTATGTGTGCGCACGTATGTATTTTTTTTTCCTGGTTTGGTATGTAGGAGGGAACCAAGTAATAGGTCATACCTTAAATTTATATATATATATTTTTAGTTTTTGTTTCTTGGGCCATAATCAGCAATGCTCGGGGGCTCCTCCCCACTCTGAGCTGAGTCTAGCCTGGGCCTACAGCACGCAAAGTCTGTGCACAGCTTCTTCAGGTATCTATTTGGCCCTTCCAGTTTATAATTTAAATTCCTGCCAAAAGTACAGAGAAGGCTGGAGAGACACAACAGCAGGGAAGGGCACTTGCCCTGCATGCCGCCGAAACCCGTATTTCTACTATTTCATATATCCTCACCTACATTTCGTACTGGGAATTCATTTTAGTTATTCCAGGGTATTTATTATACCATGTGTTACGATTTTAAATTGCATTTTCCTGATTACTAATGAGGTTTTGTACTTTTGCAGATAAATTTACTCTTTGGATAACCCAGAGTCTGAACTGTCTAGTTCTCTTGCCCTGTTTCTCCTCTAACCTGAGTACAGAGCCAGGCGTAAGCCCTGAGCATCGCCAAGCATGGCCCAAAACCAAAGAAATGAAAGAATAATTTTAACCTGTTGATGCCAGCAATGCTATTTGTGCTAATCAAACTGTATGCATGTGTGAGCACTGGTAACAAGCTTTGGAGTCATGTGTTAAAGAGAAAGAGAACTCTAGATGCTTCTATACTATTAAAGATCTTTTCAGCTTTTTGTTGTTGTAGTTTTGCTTTGTTTTGGGGCCACACCCGGCAGCTTACTACTGGCTTTGCACTAAAGGATCATTCCTGGTGGGTCCCAGGGATGAAACCCGGGTTGGCCATGTGTGATACAAGTGCCCTACATTTTTAACTTGTTTAACTTTTTCTGTATTTTTACACAACAATATTATATCTAAAATAGAAAGACATACACATGTACACACATCCATTTAAAAAATTTTTTTTTTGAAATTAATAAATGCTTACCTTAATGCACGACTGAGTTTCTCATAGTTCATTGTAGGTTTATTTTTACGTTGTCCCCATTTTTGCGCAACCAGTTCAGGCTGATTAAGCTTGAACTCGCCTTCATCACCAACCCAGGAAATGCAGTCTCGTGCATCCTTGTCAGTTAGAAGTTCTAGCAAAAACTGCCACAGCTGAATCTGGCCATTGTTTCCTAAATTGGTATAAAGGACAAGCATTGACCACAGAACCATAGATTACTAGAAAGGAAGAGGCAACTAACAGGCTCTCTGGCTCATGTGTCAGTCATATTAAAATAATTTTCTTTTTTTAAACAAGTGCTGCTTGAACACTACCAAACAGTCCCTACTCATAGATTCAGTGTTGTAAAACAAAATCTAATTTAGTGAGTTTTGTAAAGCGTCAAGTTACAATGCAAAAATACCTGTTCTGTTCCCAGGTGAGCTTCTATCTTCTCCTGAAATTCTTGGAGCTCTTTGTACTTTAGCTGCCTTTGCACTACCATTTATAACTTTAATTGTAGTTGGTGTCGTAGACTGCACTGATGCTGGAATAATTTGCACAGCTGCCAAGAAAGACAAGGGGAAGGACGATTATATTCCTTCCAAATACAATCAGTGAAAAAAGTTACTCAAAGGTATAAAACGTAATTAGTTCTTCTAATGTCCCTTGAATTACTTCAATAGAAAATCTCATTTAAAAATAAAAAGATGGGGAGTTGGAGAGATAGTACAGCGGGGAGGGCGCTTGCTTTGCATGTGCCCAACACAGATTTGATCCTTGGCATCCCATATGGGTCACCAGGAGTCATTCCTGAGTGCAGAGCCAGGAGTAAACTCTGAGCATCATCGCTGGATATGAACCAAGAAGAATAAGAAAAATGAAAAAGACAATCCACTACACTTTCGAAAAAAATCCCCACAGTAGTTCTCAGCATCAAGTAGGATATATTTTGCATTCTGGCTTGTGATTAAAAAAAAAAAAAAAAAAAAAGAAAAGCTTCTCTCCTGGAAGGGAGCATAACACGAGGCTCTTCATAGCCATGCCAACGAACCCCACGCAAGGCTATTTCACTCGGGGCACTGGGGGGGGGGGGGGGGGGGGCAGGTGAGAGCCCTCCCTGCCTCCAAGGGACCCAGCCCCAGCAGCCGAAAACCTCCAGAACCCAACTGCCACCATGCTCCCGGCCATTCTCCACATGCTCAGGCAAGCCTCACACACGAGTGAAATCCAACAAAACCCAGGTATGCGGAACTCTGTGACTGGGACCTCTTGCGGGTGCCAGATAATCTCATCACTGGCCACCATCCATTGCATGTTCTTCTCTCCAGAAAAGGAGCATAACATGACGCTCGCCAGAGCCATGCCACTGGACCCTGTGCCAGGCTGTTTCACTCAGAGTGCCCCAGAGAGGGGTGAGAGCTATTCCCATCATAAGGGACCCAGCCCCGGCAGCCGAAAACCTCCAGAACCCAACTGCCACCATGCTCATAACAGCTCCCCACACACTCGTATTCCTGGCCTGCGCTCTGTGTGTGTGTGTGTGTGTGTGTGTGTGTGTGTGTGTGTGTGTGTGTGTGTGTGTGTATGTGTGTGTGTATACTGCAGCCTTGGGAAAGACAAGTAAGGAGAGGCTGCTAAAATCTCAGGACTGGGGCGAATGGAGACGTTACTGGCACCCGTCGGAGTAAATTGATGAACAATGGGATGACAATGATACAGTGATAGTGATATATATTTACAGATATATATATGGAAGTTTACAAGGCTCAACCTTTAACACCATGTTGGCGGTATCTTATAGAAGGTCTTAATGGCCCCTGCCAAAATATAACAATTTTCACACTCTTTCCTCTATGGATACTTTTCTATAGCCTTTTCAGCAGTTTTTCTTCATAACAATACAAATATATTATTTTGGTTCTGCTTTGTGACAGGGATTGGGGTTTGGGATGGAAACATCCCAAATATGGTGGTGGGATTGGTGTTCAAATATTAAATGCAATCAAATATTGTGAACTACCTCATACAAAATTAAAAAAAAAAAACACAAAAAAACCCCAAAACCTGGTTTTAGGCTAGACCTGGCCACGCTCAGTGCTTACTTCTAACTCTGCACTTAGGGATTATTCCTGGCAGACCTCAGGGGACCATATGGTGCTAAGGATCAAACCCAGGCTGGCTGAGTGCTAGGCAAGCACAAAGCATATTATCTGCCGTATTCTCTTTTTGGCCCCTGGTTTGTGAATCTTAGTAAATGAAAGTTGGTTTCCTTATTTTGGAATCACTCAATGTATATACATTAGACAAAGTTTAAAAATTACTCAAGAATTTTATAAAGATAGTTATCAAATAAGTGTTGGAGAAAAAACGAAAGAAAAAAACTTATTTACTATGAAGTCTAAACCTTTATCACTACTTTGAAAAAAAATTACATAATAAGATTGAAAGGCTAGAAACCCTAGATACTATAACCAGATAATCTCAGACACATTCTCACAAAAACTCAGTATATTCATCCAGTTTTTTCTTTTGATTTTTGGGTCACCTCTGGTGGTGCTCAGGGCTTACTCTTGGCTTTATGTTTGGGATCACTTTTCACAGACTCAGGGATCATACAGGGTGCAAGGGATCAAACCTGGGCACAGCTCGTGCAAGATAACCCTATCCACTTGTAGTATCTCTAAAGCCACATGTTCAACTAGTTTTAAAATTAACGAGCAATAAAAAAAAAGTATGAAACTTTGCTGCAATTATCTTCATGGATAAATCGCAAAACTATTAAATGAAAATGTCAAGCAAAAATGTGCACAGCAGTGGGTAGGGCATTTGCCTTGCACGCAGCTGACCCGGGTTAGATTCCCAGCATCCCATATGGTCCCCTGAGCACTGCTAGGAGTAATTCCTGAGTGCACAAGCCAAAAGTAACCCAAAAAGCAAAAAAAAAAAAAAAAAAAAAAAAAAACCCACTGTGCACAGAATATTTAAACATGTGAGACAATGACAAAAATATTGACGGCTATAATTGGCATAATTAAAAAAGGTACGGGGGGTTGGGGGGACAGCTGAAAAAAGGGCTGGAGCACATTCTTTGTTGGCATGTAAGGGGTCTGGGTTCAATTCCTAGCACCACATGGTCCTCAAGGACCTCTGGGAGCAAACCTCAAGCAATGAGTTGGAGAAGTCCTGAGCACTGCTGGGTATGGCCCAAAACCCAAACAATGAATTTGGAAAGCAGAATGCCAATGCAATTTCAGGTGATTTAAAGTGGAACCCACAATAGGCATACTGCATAAATACATTTTAATTTCTTATACCACACATCTATGTTATACTGTATTTTTTGTACATCTAAAATATTCATAAATTTTCCTTCTTACAACCTTACAGTGTAAAAGAAAATATTTAATGGGAAATATAAGATAAACACAAATACTCACGTTGATCAATTGTTACTATCTCATTCATTTGTTGTTCTTGACTTGCCAATACATCTGAAGAACAGACATAAAAATTACTGTATTTTTTAAAACTCCAAATGCAAAACCTCAACCCAAAATACCTAAGTAAATATTATCCTTTAAAAAGAAACCAAAACCAAAAAAAAAAAAAACGAAAATTGAAAGTAAAACCAACCTAATAAACAAGAAGCTGAGCATTCAACTAGTCAAAGTTATAAGCATAATCACCTCCAAAGAGTTTTATAGTCAACGTAAGTGAAACGTATCTTTTACACTATCAGTAGTGACAACTTTGAGGCCTGAGAGCTTGTGAGGCTGAGCACATGCTTGGCACATGGGAGGCCCAGGCTGAATTCCAGCATGGTGTAACCCCCTGCCCCCAGCACCACCCGCAGTGATTCCTGGCAGAGTCATGAGAAACCCCCAAGCACTGCCAGGCAGAGCCCGCAAAACGCATACTCCCATACAAAATTTTACGTCTAATCTGCAAAGTACATCTCAATAATGTTGGAAAAGTACTTTATCTTCTGCTTTCTACTTTAAAAGAGCTTTCAACTTTCTTTTTTCAGTTTTGGGGCAGTGCTCAGGCAGACTCCTGGCTCTGTGCTTGGGGTTCACTCCTGGAGGGCTCCAGGGAACAATATAGGGAGCTTGAACCCAAGTCAGCCACATGCAAGGCAAGTGCCCTCCCCACTGTACTATCTCACCAGGCCTGTATCTTCTGAATCTTTACTTAGAATTTTCTTATCATTTCAAAGAGCTTTTCTCTAAAGAAAAAAACCTTTTAAGAAAAAAATAAGCTCCACCATGGCTCCAGAAGCACAAGGACTTAATGCAGAGCCCAGCAGCTTGCAGCAGAAAAGTGAACAGACTGTGTTGATCCACGCCACCATGTCTGCCCAGAGGGGAAAGGGTGTCGATCCCTTCTGCCTTCTTCCCTCTGGAAAGAAAGATGGCAGCCGCTTGGGAGCTTTGTGGAAAGCCAGGTATGAGCTGGTCGTGGTGGGGCGACTAAAACCTCATGGGAAGGGGGGTGTTCCTGGCTCGTCCTTCACGCCCTACCGAGGTCACCAGTTGCCCCCCACAAGCAGCTCTCCGGCACGGCCATGGCTCCAGAGCACAGAAACTAATCTCTTAATTATCTGACTCTCAGCAGAAATACTTCCAGGGTTAATAAGTAAAATAGCAGAAATCCAAAACCACGCGGCTGTGACATCATTTAATTCTTGAACCCAGCTGTAGAAAGCAAATCATTTCACAATGCATTTCCAGCATGTCTGATTTGGGGGTGTAAACTCTAAATAATAATGGTGTATCTTCTATTGAAACAATGAATCTAGTCAAAGTAGATAGAGTGTTAACTAGAATTCATCTGCCTCATAGGCATTGGGAGGGTTGGGGGGGTGGGGGTTTATTGGGGTTCTTCGTGGTGAAAAATAAGTATCGGTAAAGGGAAATGTGTTTGATATTTGCTTGACCGAGACCTAAACCTGAAAGCTTTGTAACTTTTCCCACAGCGATTCAATAAATGAATACATTTTTAAAAAAAGAAAAAGAAAAAAATAAGCTCCAGGGAGCAATAGCATAGTGGGTAGGGCGTTTGCCTTGCACACGGCCAACCCGGGTTCAATTCCCAGCATCCTATATGATCCCCTGAGGACCACCGGGGTAATAATTAAAACACAGGAACATCTTCAAGTTCAGGTCAAAATGGGGGAAAAAAACACACAACAAACCATCTAACAGAAATTTAGATTTTTTGCAAAAAGACACCTTTAATGGGACAACAACAAGCTTTAGGACTGGATATCTCTGCTAGTACAGGGGTTTAGGTACTTGCTCTGCATGTGAGCTAAGCTTGATTCAATCCCGGGTACCTCATATTGTCCCCTAGCATTTTCAGGAGACAGCAGATCCCAGTACTGCTGGGTATGGCCCCAAAATACTGATCCCAATGATAACAGAATGAGAAGGAAGTCATCTAGGAACAAATATCAAATTTCCAGAAGACGAACAGTAAATAATTGACTATTTGAAATAGAATTTAACAAGTAGATAACTAGATATATAAAGAAGATTAAGTATCCAGCATTTATTTAAGATAATTAAGATTCTACTACTAGTTCAACCGGGTTTGAATTCAGAATCTGTGACTTTGTAGGGACAATCCTCTCTAACTCTAAGCCTTAGTTTCTGATCAGAAGAATAAGTAAAATAATAATTTGTAGTTTTAGGACAGGAATTCAATATTTTATGTAAGTATAGTGTTCTCAGCCCAGCCTTAATGCCATTATCACCATTACCAATGACCAATCAAGATGAAAACAGTTATAAAAGAATGAAACTTAAGCTATAAGGCAAATAGAAAAAAATTTCATACATTTTCTAAGAAGCTCTAGATGACTCCAGAGAATTTCTCCCCGAGGTACCCGCTGAAAAAAATCTTCTTGGTTGAGACTACATAACTCTCTTCCTGAAATGTTGAGCGTGGTGAGGTCTATATCAGTCATGCTGAATTCTTTCATTACCCAAACTACCCAATGCAGAACTTGATCTGTAGACCACTGTATAGGATCTAAAAAAGAAAAAAAAAGTCATTAGCCTAATTCAACCGAAGATAGTATAAATACATATATTTTTTGCTTTTTGGGTCACACCTGGCATTGCACAGGGATTACTCCTGGATCATGCACGCAGAAATTACTCCTGGCAGTACTCGGGGGACGATATGGGATGCTGGGAATCAAACCCAGGTCGGCTGCGTGCAAGGCAAATGCCCTACCCGCTGTGATATCGCTCCAGCCCCAAGATAGTATATTAATTTATAGTTAACTTGTCAACTTCTTGCCTACATGTAGATAAAATCCAGGGTTTATTTCCCCTAAGTGAAAAAAAAAAAAAAACCCCAAACATATGAAATAAATGTATTCTTTTAAACATTACACTTGGTTTAGTTCTTATCTTCTTCCATTAGTACCAAACATTAAACCTAGGGCATCACATATACAAGCAAGTGTTCTACTACTGAGGCACACTATAAACTTCCTTTTTAATTTAACCAAAATTCTCAGACTCATTTGGTTCTATTAACAGGTAGTCTGGAATATTCTGAAGAAAAATATTTGCAATACTGCTCTCTAGTGGGCTAAATGAGTAAGTATACGATTATCCTGGAGAAGGGAGAAAATTATCCAACTACAAAATTATTTTAGGAAGCTGGAGCAATAGAACAGTGGATAAGGTGTGCGCCTGGCATGCGGCTAAACCAGACTTAATCCCAAGTACCACATATGGTTCCCCAAGCCCACCAGGAGTGATTCCTTAATACAGACAAGAGCCCTGAGCACTGCTGGGTGTGGCCCCAAAACAAAACAAAATTTATTTCACAGCAGCGTCAGAGTCGGGACATTAAAAACAAAATAACAGGGTTGCAATGCTGGTCCACGAATGTAAGAAAGACTGAAAACCACTGGTCTTCACCTGGCTTATAACGGCCAGTCTGTGTGGTATACATGCAGAACTGGTTCTCAGGAGTAAAGGGTTGAAGAATGCTGCTTTAGATAGATCAATCAACTCCAAAATAAGTACTTGTAATTGAATGAATTCACCTAACTGCATGTCTGTGGGTGAAATGCCCCATCCAGACAGAACGATGAAATGTTTTTATGTGTTAACCATCTTTTGTAGTTTTCATAAGTAAAAAATGAGGAAAATAAAATAACTTGAATTTGCTTTGTACAGATTTAACAAGTAATATGTACTGTAGTGGTTTCCAATGAGAAGATGGGTTATAAGATATGGCTCTTTAATATATAACTATTTAACATCTTATGGGAGAAGACAGCTGAACAAACAAGCAATTAGCAAGTTGCACTGTAAGTACCACCATAAGGATAAGTATGGAGACACCTTAATAAGGGCAAATTTAGAGCACAAACAAATAAAAATACAGGATAATCACAAAACTGATTTTTTAAATTTTACTTCACCCCACCCACCCACCTCACACACGTAATTCCTAAGGAAAAAAGAATTCAGAGATGGTAGCATTTTTTTGGTGTATTAAAAAGAAAACAATTCTCTGAAAGCACACATGATGAAAACCAACTATGAAAAAAACAAAAACCCACAGACATTTATAATAAAACTAAGTGACAAAATAACTCACAAATCCCACAACATCTCCAGGTGAGGACAAGGCAGCCATAAAAAAATTGCATGGTCATTACCAAATGTGCAGAAAAAGTAGAGAGGGAAGCAAAGGGTTATCTGACCCCGTCTCCATTCTGAGCACAGGAAAACCCAAACACAGCTGAGAAGTATTCACCGGAAATATTAGAAGACAAGCATCAAGGAGCTGCTGCATGGGATCAGGAATACACCGCAATGAAAGCGCACCAGCTTCACACAAGTGAGCCCTGGGAATCATCCCCCAGAGACACACACAGCAATGAACCGAAAAACCGAGAGCTGCTAACACAATTTCGGTCAAACCAAAAGCTCAGCACCTGTGAGCTTTTAAAACAGTGAGCCAGTAAGCACTTTCTGAAGACTGGACCACAATAAAGAGAAACCCTATGGGTGCAGAACTGAGACTCTTAGGAACATCAAGACAGAAGGCCCAGGTAAAAGAGGAACAGGGGAGTAGTCAGGAAGTGGAAAAAAAAAAAAAAAAAAACAGCTGCTCCGTTTCTGAATACTACTGAAACTAGGAGGGGACATGGGCAGAAAAGCTGTCCCGAGCCACACTTCCCTGTAGAATTCAAGAATCTCTCTACTTGTGTCTCAGTTCTTGGTTTTGTGACCAACTCCCAAACCAAAGCTCAGGGATTCCTCCTGGTTCTGTGCCAAGGGTGACTGGTCACGTGCAAGACAAGTGTCTTCTCTCCTCTTATTATGTCTCTGGCTCTAAGAAAGTTCATTTTATATTATGTATAAACAAAAAGAAAAACTTTTTAGGAAATTACAGAATTAGTCTGTTTTCTTAAGTAAAATGAGGACCTACAGTTTAATGAACCATTTGGCGGGTGGGAAAAGACAGCTGCGAGGGCCGATGTGTATGCTTTAGCAAGCAGGAGGCCTGGATTATTTGGGGGGTACTGCTGGGTCCCCCGAACACTTGAGTTGAGACTAGCCCCAGAGCATTACAGGGTGTGACCCTGTAATGATACGCAAATGGCCACTCATGTTCTTCCTGCCTCCTTCCTAAGACCCTACAGAATGAAAAGATTCTAAAAGAGCCAGCAGAAGACACAACTCAGATACAAAAATGGGAATGGACAGAAACAGGTGAATTAAATTTTGAGGGGGTTGGGGGGGGAACACTCAGTGATCTCTGTGGTTCTGCACACAGAAATCATTCCTGGAAGGTCTCAGGTTCGGAACCATATAGGGTGCTAGGGATCAAACCCAGGGCAATCATGCGCGAGTCAAGTGCTCTACCCACTATGGCTCTAGCCCCTTCAACTACATTTTTGAAGACAATAATCAGAGTGAAAATAAAGCAGAGTAAGAGAAGCTACAACCGAAAACTCAACCCATGAAATGACTCAGGCTTTCCTAAGTACAGAACCTTTTCTTTGCCTTGGTATCTGGGCCACAGCAGTGCTCAGGCGCTATTCCGAGCTCCATTGCTCAGAGGCGCAGGAGCTCGTCAGGAACTGAACGTGGGTTCCCAAATGTCAATGACCTGTTATCTTGCTAGTCCTAGTACCTCTGCTCTTGAGGAAGTGGATACATGGAACAGTAGAGATTTAACTGGAAAATAAGGGAGGTAATTTCGAGAACACGATGTGGTTGAAAAACTCCAAGACTTATAAAACATTTCAAGAGGCCGAAGTCATAGCTCAAAGCCTGACCACATCCTCTTCATGCAAGAGGCCCATGTCTAATCACCAGCACTCCCAAATCCCTGAGCACAGGGCCGAGAGTAATCCCCAAGAACCGCCAGGGATTGGCACAAGCCTCTCCAGACAAACCAAACAGTATTTTAAATCCTTTTAGGTTTCTTTCTCAGCATTTCCTCAAGAGATGTCTCCAAATTGAACTAACGTTAAGGTTAGTAAGCCAACCATATTAACCATCACATGTGAAAAACAGTATGCTCAACCATCCCATTTCTGAATTCTTCAAGGGGGTTGCTTTATCTTGTTAGGTACCAAATACTCCTTGTTTCTTTAATCTGAGATCCTCCTGCTAGTAGATACTATCTTATCTACAAACATATGTGGGTCAACACCCACATGAACCTTCAGTGTTTATTTCCCCAGCACACTTTCCACTTGATACCCCAAAAGAAGTATTCACTTTTCCTTTTTGGTGGGGTTTTGGGCCAAACTAGAAGTATTTTGTGGGGTGTCACTCTTGAGGACATGTGGTGTGGGGACCGAACCTACGCTTCCTGTGGCCAAAGCACGCGTTCCACTCTTCAGAACCATACCCCTGGCCTCAGGAGTAAGCAGCCTTTGTAACTACAGCCACTGCTATTGACATCTATCAGATGAATGAATCTTGAGCACCATATTTAATAGGTTTTACTCAGCAAACATTCCTTTATGCTTTCAGACTTCTGACAATTTGAAACCCTACACTCTACAGGAATTATACAATTCTTTTTTTTTTTTTTTTGCTGGTCTGTTCGTTTTTCAAACATACCTAGCAGTGCCAAGGGGCTACTGTAGCGGGGGTTGCTGCTGACCCTTGCTGGGGGAACTACTAAAGCCTGGACTAGCTCTCTGGCCCCTCTACACAATTCTTATTGCCTCCTTTTTCTTCAATTCCCTGTCTCCTTTCCTTTTCAACTTTACATGTTGCCGAGGTGCAGGAACCAGTCTCTAGAGCTCAAAGGGATGGAGTGCAGGACTTAGATGCAAGCAGCTGGGAATCTGACCCCCTATCATGGACAGTCCCCTTCACAGCTAAATGAAGTTCTAGTAGTGGGTGTGGCCTACACAGCTGGGCTCAGGATCACTGGGAGAATCTGCAAAAAAATCTGTAACTGGGGCCAGAGTAGTAACACAGCAGGTAAGGCGGGGGAGGGGGGGTGTCACCTTGCATGCAGCCAACCCCTGCACCCCATATGGTCCACTGAGTACCGCCAGAAGTGTTTCCTGAGTGCAGAGCCAGGAGTAACCCCTGAGCATCATCCGGTATGGCCCAAAATCAAAAAAACAAAATCTGGAACCAGTATTTAATGCTGCGCTCTGATCCATATTTTTTCTCTTCACCAGATTCCAATACAAACTCCCAGATCACATCTGACTGAATCCCAGATTCTCTTCAGCCCCAATTGTGCACGCCAACTCTAGTTGACTGTGTACCATTAAGTACCAGGAGTCCAGAAAGAGAGGGGGAATGGGTTAAGGCACTTGCCTTCAACGTGGCCGAACCTAATTCGATCCCCAGCACCATCACTGAGTACCACAAAGGATATCCTCCCAGCAACCCCTGATCCCCCAGTCAACAAAGCAAATAACAACAATTTCCTTTGAAAAACCTCTCTTCAATCCCAGTCTTCTTGGGCATGGACTGTCTTGCCTCTGCACATGGGTCTTGACCAATGAAGCCCACTAACAAAGAGGATGGAAGCCAAGTCCAATCAATGACTGCAAGCCACCAGGGCAAGAAATGAGTGCAGGACACCATCTCCCCTCGAGATCATCTGATCTTCTCTGGTGATCAGTCTCATCGCAATCTATCTTCCTCAGTTCTCCCCACAGAAATGACTGGACCCAGGTGAACTCAGGCGCTGTCAGCAGGAACTGCTTCTGCCCTCTCGTCGTTAGTGCCTACCTGCTCCAACATAAGCCATTCGCCACAGCCACGTGGTTTCAATGGTGAATTCTACTGATGAGAAACGGTGGTCCAGCAGTAAAACTAAAACTTCTCACTAGTCATACATGCTTTCAAAGAGGAGTTCTACATGTATATTTCCTGTCTGAAATGTCCTTTTCTGCCCTACAATTTGTCTTAATAAGCCCCTCCCCAATATCCCCCCAGGTCCTGCTGAGATCCTAACAGCACGGTGCCTTTACAGACATTATCAACAGTTTCTAAGCAGAAAACCCTTTATGGAAATTATCTCTTTTCTCTCTCTTCTCTCTTTATATTGCGAACACCTTAGTGCAGACTAACAAAAATACATGTCTTGGTTTTCCAGCTCTCATTATACACCTTAAGTACTATTTAAGCACTCCCCTGAAACAGATACTGGAAATCAATACTCTCCGAGAAATTTTACATTTAAAAAAGGATGATGCTCACTCTGGTATGTTCTACGTCAAGCGTGACTCGTTATTCTATCCAACATGCAATTATACAGAATACGTAATTATGTGTTTTATTACCATAGGGTATCCCAAGGCGTTCTTGTTCTTTCCTGTAACCTTCCAGCGCGGCAGCCCATCTTGTGACCTGTTCTGAGGTTTCATCTGAAATGGTTGTAATATGTTTGGTGCCATCAAGGGTTATCACTTGAGCTTCCTCAACAAGATGTGCTTCTGCTTCGGCATGGTGAGCATCTGGATCAATAACGACTTCAACTGTCTCCGCAGGTTTAACAATTTCAAGGATGTTTAGCTTCGGCTCAATTCCTTCAAAGTGAATTTTTCAAAAAGTTAATCTAAATGAACATATGAAAGACACTTTAAAAAAACATATGCAGAGCCATAAGTAACCCCTGAGCTTTGTCAGTGTGACCCGCCCTCCAAAAAAGATTAAAATAAAATCATAACAACTGAACAGGGGCCAGAGCAGTAATACAGCTTGTCGGGCGCTCGCCTTGCACACAGCCAACCTAGGTTTAATTCCCATATGGTCCCCTGAGCATCACCAGGAGTTAATCCTGAATGCAGAGCCAGGAGTAACCAGTGAGCACTGCTGGGTGTGGCCCAAAAACAATCAAAAAAGCCCACAACTGAAGAGAATATTAGCAAATAATAGCAATGTATCAATATTAAGTCCCTTATTTTGCCTTATAGACAGCTGACTCAGGACCTAGTCCAGAAGTCCTGCCTGCAGTAAACCTGAGTACTGCTGGGGTGTGGCCCAAAACCCAGCAAACAACAACAAAAACCCCTGAACTTCCTCATCTTGGTAACTGTGCTGTGGTCATTTAAAAAAATCTCTTGCTTTTAGAAAAAGCGTACAACTAACCCAATCAGCAATACCAATCATGGTATTTTATTAGTAGTCTGTAAGAATATATTTAGGGAAAAAAAAATAGAAAACCCAATTTTGGTGTACGAATTTCAGGTGTTTTGGGGTCATGCCCAGTGAAATCGGGGGTTACTCCTGGCTCAACACTCAAGAAGCACCCCTTCAGTGCTCAAGGGACCATAAGGGATCCCAGGGATTGACCCCAGGTCAGCCACGGCCAAGACAAGCACCCTACCCCCTGTACTATCATTCCGGCTCCCTTGAGTCTTAAGTTTCAAAAAGCGTGACCTACTGTGATCTCTAACCAGTCTTAAACTTTTTAATCTTAGGATTCCTTTGCAAATTCCTCTCTCTGATCTACACTCTAGAGAACAGACTTTCTTGCAACAATAGTTTCCGATGGATTTAGGATATTTAAGAAATACTGGCATGAAGCCATCTATTTGGAAATGAATTAAAAAGTGACAGGCAGGCGTATGAGATCTATGTTTTGGCCACCACAGTTCCAAGATGCCGTGTAGATATAGCATTCTCTTTTAAGATTGGGCGTTTTCTAGACCATGGCTAGGCAGCAGTTTCCCTGGCAGCCCATTTCTGCAGTGGCCGAAATATTCTTAAAAAACCACTAGAACTTGTTCTCCCAGACTTCTCTATGATCCTCCATTTACTATAGAAAAAAAAAAATTTAGGGGACCAGAGAGATAATAGTGTGGGTAGGATGTTTGACTTTCACTGACAGACCTGGGTTCAATCCCCAGCACCACATATGATCCCACCAGAAGTCATCCCTGAATACAGAAGCAGGAGTAAGCTCTGAGCACCTTTGAGCATGGCCCCAAAACCAAAACACATGAATATTTTATTAGAACACTATGATTTTCAAGTTGTGCAGAATATAGCTGTTTTCGGCATACAATGTTTCAATCCCCGCCACCTGTGTGACCTGTCCTCTATCAATGTCCCCAGTTTCCCTCCCATCCAAGATTGCCACAATACAGCTCTGACTATACATTCATTACATTACACAATTTGCTTCATACTGACAAATATAATTAAACCAGTAGCATGAGTTTTTTGGTCCACATGTCATAGACTTTTTGATAACCATCTGAAGCTGATAAAATTGAAGTTTTCAATTAAAGAAATACAAGCTCAACTTTTACACCACTACACTATAAAGAACTTACCTTGGTAAGAAATTACCTGTACACTAAGCTGTACAGTTCCATCAGTCTTAACTCCTTGGTCAAACAAACTTCGTTCTGGATCCAGCTAGACAACAGGTAAAAAATAAAAAGATTATTTAATAGTAGCGCAATCACTTTTGAATGCATCAAACTGAATTACTGAGATATACTAGTTAAATTGCAAGTATATTTCTATCCAAGTTGATATTTCTATCTATATCACTTTTCTTGTCAAAAAGAAAAATAATTTAACATTCAATGCCAAAAAGAAAAGCATAATTTAACTGCCATGGTAGTTATTAAAGGATAACAAAAACAAGATACGAGGCATCTTACACTTCACATTAACAGACACAAAATGTTGTATTACCTTCCATCAAGATTGGGTTAATTTGGGTCTAGAAAGATAGTACATCGGGCAAGGCATCTGACTTGGAAGCAGATGACACAGCCATCCCATGAGGTTCCCCGAGCACCACCAGGAGTAATTCCTGAGTGCAGAGCCAGGAATCACCCCTAAGCATCACCAGGTGTGACCAACATCCCCTCCCCACACACAAATTGGGTTAATTTATCCTCTCGTAGTTGAGAAGAAAATTTTTTCAATCCTACGCTAAAATTATTATTAAACCCATCTACACTGTTTAGTTTTAGAAGAACATTATCCTCCTACCCACAACACTTACTAGACTTATTGAAAAAAAGAGAAAAGCATAGTCAAATGGCAACTAAAATGTATGCATTAAAACATTTCTACTTATTCTAATAAAAAGGCTATTTAAAAATAGATATAATTTGAATTTTTTCAAAACTAAAAGTTTCATATGTATGGAAATAGTACTGCAGGGCAGGAAAGAGGAGTAGTTTAAAAAAAAAAAAAGCTTAAGAGATGACATAGTAGTGTAAATTAGTGTGCAGAAGAACAGAAAAACTTTCTGAAGGGACAATGATCTCTCTTTAAAGAGTTTCTTAAATAAAGAAGTTAAAAGCAATTTACAAATGAAGAGTAAGGAGGACAAACTTTAGGCTTCTAACTGCTTTAATTCAAATTGACATAAACTCATTTTGTTTTGCCTGTTTTGGGGCCATACCCACTGGGCTCGGGAGCTACTCCTTGGCTCCTAAGGTCTGGAGGAATCATGTGATGCTGGGTATATAGACCCTGGGCTCTCACGTGCAAAAGAATATTCTCCCAACTCTTTTTTTAAAGCTATCTCCTCTGTTTCTAAATTTATAACTATGTTCTGTCAGAGTAAAAAGTGAACAAAACCAAATGAGAGTCTGATTAAGCATCACATCTTAAAAAAAAAAAAAGTGTTCAGCCCAATCTAGCAGCTCACATCTGGCTGTCCGCTCATGGAGCACACTAAGAGTGATAGGATCACATCGAACCAGATTTGGCAGCATGAAGAGCAACAGTCTTAACCCTATCCTGGCTATCAAGGTCTGACCTTATAAATAAAAACTTTGTGAAAGTTTTAAACTGAAACCAGATTTGAACTGAAAAATCTAAGCATTCAGAAATGCTTTCCACTTCCTTCTATTTCTAAATGCTTAGATTTTTCAGTACAAATCTGGGTATAAAAATAAATTCTATAAATATATTTTTATAATATAGATTTAAGTGCGCAACAATAAATTTCACCACCAAATTACCTGGATATCCTGCAGGCAAATTTCATGTGCATCCAAGGAACACTGTAGTCTTGGTTCTAGAAGCTTCTTTAAATTGCCAATTGGCTCATTGATGTCAATGGCCTGGCTTACACATTCAGCTGGTGTGTAGGTTTGTTCAACAATGCTAAATGTTAAAAAACATGATTGTTAGCATTTTTCTGTGCCAGGGATCAAACGTAGGCCTCCTCAGACATACAATGCAAGTACTGTACTCCTTGATGCTAACAACTAAAATTTGAACCTGGACACTAAAGATTACAGTTTCAACTTTGAACACACTCTTTACTAGTAAATCTTCCTTTTCTTATTTAATTAAACATTGACATAAAAGTATTATCTGCCGAACTGGTGGATGTGGGATTTAATAAAGTTTCACAACATCTTTACTTTAAATATTTTCAAATATCAAAAATTATATTTAAAACTAAGTTTCATTTTCATACATCAAGTATACTGATGTATAGATCCATGTACTATCATCTCTCCAGTCACCTCAAATGTTGATTTTTAAAGATTTTCAATTCATATCCTCTCCTTAGCTTCTGAACTCAGGCAGTGATAATCTACTACCATAGCAAGAAATAACACTTTCACTGTCAATATGTGCTACTACTGTGTATATTATTATTCATATACTTGTACATTTCCAAAAGTACAACAAAACATGGCCCTCTAAAAGAGCAGGTCACGGTTGTATTTACTGATATACTCCATTTTCATTTTTTTTTTTTTTTTGGCTTTTTGGGTCATACCTGGTGATGCACAGGGGTTACTCCTGGCTCTGCACTAAGAAATTTCTCCTGGCAGTGTTTAGGGGGATCATATGGGATGCTGGGGATAGAACCCGGGTTGGCTGCATGCAAGGTAAATGCCCTACCTGCTATACTATTGCTCTAGCCCCCACTGATATATCCTTGACAGTTAATAGTTTAAAGCAGTTATTTATAGGTATTTTAAGTAAACTCAGGTTGTGAATTAAAGTCTTTCTGAAATAAAAACTCTCTAAAAGAGCAGTTTATAGTCTTGTTACTAATATATTCCTGAGTTAATAGTTTACAGTTGTTACCTGTAGGTAATTGTTAAGTAAATTCAGAATTGTGAATTAAACTTTCTAAAATAAAAATAACCAAAGAATAGGAAAAAAAAGAGTCTGTAATCTAGGGATAAAAACCATAAAATTCAACTGTGATTTAGCTCAACTGACTATGATTAGTTAAGCTACTTACTAACTTTAGTAAAAAATTTTCTTTCCCTCCCAATTAGCAACAAATTGAGTCCGGTGTGGGGTGGGCGCAGTTTAAAATAATACATTCTCCCAAATGCTGAGGTTAGGTTAGTTAAAATAAAATGAAGTCTAAAAAAAGGCTTTCTAACTTTAATGAGATGTTAGAAGAAAGCGGTCAATCAGAAAACACCAACCTTTCCTCCGTGCACTCTGCTTTCTCTGTTCCATCGATCTCAATTTCTATCAGCTCCTCCGCTTCTCTTTTAGTCATGGTTGAAATTTTTCAAAAGTCCAGTCCTGCAAGAGCTAAATGTTAAGATAATTTGAAATTATCTACACACAAAAAAAAGTATCATCTACGTAAAGACAATTTAAATAAAAAGTGAGAAGCGGTACCCGGAGCAAAACACACACACACACACACAAAAATACAAGTTGGTTATCATCTAGTTTTGTTTATGGCATTTAATAAACAAAAATTATGGTATTCAGCATTAATTAACCACCTAATTGGAGTTAATGGGGTTTTTTGGGGGAGGTAGCATAATCTCAGTCATCAAAATTCATTAAAAATTAAGTGAAAGGTGAGTCAATTTTATCATATTAAGAAATTCAAACCTGTAGCATAAAAATCAACTTACAATTCTGCCAGCTTCTCTTCCCATACACGATCGGTCCCAGGATCAGCGCCCACATCTACTATCTATTATCAGATGGCACAGTATAGAACCTAACTACACCCTCTTGCGCATCATCTCTAGGGGCCAGAGTGACAGTATAGCGGCTAGAACATGTGCCTTGCACAGGCTGATAGGGATTCGACCCCCAGCACCACATATGGTCCTCTTAGCATCACCAAAAGGGACCCCTGAGCACAAAATCAGGAGTAATTCAGAAGCACAGCTAGGTGTAGTGCAAAAACAAAACAATCCCATCTAGATTACTTACTATATATAATACAACATAAATGTTCTGAATATTGGCAAGTACTATACACCAAAACAAAAAAATAAACAAGATTAGTAGGTCTAAAAACTGTTATATGCAGGGTCGAGGTGATAGTGCAACGGGTAGGGTTCGTGCCTTGTATGCGGCCAGCCCAGGTTGAATTCTGGGCACTCCTGAGCACTTCCAGGAGTAAGCCCTGAGCACCTCCAGGTGTGCGGCCCCCCCAAAACAACAAAAATACTCCAAAACCAAAACACCACTGCCATAAGTATATACCAAAATTTTATGATTTACTTTTTCAGACTTATTTTACATGTTTTAAAGGTCGCTATGTCAGTTTTCAATTCTCTGATGTAAATTACCTGTTTCAAACTACCCACTGATACAAAAACATAATTTTTAAATTGTCCATCAGACAATATAGCAAATGGCATGCCAACTAATCTGCATGGGTCAAGACATACAGTGGTTGTTTACTTGTGCCCATTATTGAGGTATTAAAGGTTACATTCCAGTTCTATTACTTTCTCACTATGGACAAATGAATTGTTCTTTAGATTCAAAATATAGTCTTGGCTCAAAAATTAGTTTTTGGGGGACTGGAGCAATAGCACTGTGGGTAGGGTGTTTGCCTCGCATGCAGCTGACCCAGGTTCGATTACCAACATCCCATATGGTCCCCTGAACACCTCCAGGGGTAATTCCTGACTGCAGAGCCATGTGTGACCCAAAAAAGCAAAAACAAATTAATTAAAAAAATTAGTTTTGGGCCTGAAGCGATAATATAGCGGATAGGGTGTCTGCCTTGCATGTGGCTGACCTGGGTTCAATCCCTGGCATCCCATATGGTCCCCTGAGCACTGCCAGGAGTATAATTCCTGAGAGCAGAGCCAGAAGTACCCCTGAGTATCGCTGGGTGTGACCCAAAACCCAAAAACAAAAAGTATTGTTTTAAAGCGTTTTCTAAGTTAACTAACACATCTCTAAGTGCCTTTAAATTCTAACTTAAAAATAATGGTCCATCTGCACTTCTATGTTCATTGCTGCACTATTCACAATAGCCAAAATCTGGAAAAAACCCAAGTGCCCAAAAACAGACTGGTTAAAAAACTTTGGTACACCCATGCAATGGAGTACTATGCAGCCGTTAGAAAAGATGAAGTCATGAAATTTACATAAAAGTGGTACTACATGGAAAGTATTATGCTAAGTGAAATGAGTAAGAGAGAGACGGATGGACATAGAAAGACTGCATTCATCTGGAGAACATAAAGTAACAAAACAGGAGACTAACACCCAAGAACAGCTGAGATAAGTACAAGGAGGTTCACTCCATGGCTTGGAGGTCAACTGCACATGCTGGGCGAAAAGGCAGCTCAGAGAGAGAAGGGAGCACCAAATAAAGGGTGTTGGGTATTGGAGGATCCTCCCAGGATGGGACAAGCATGCTGAAAGTAGACTACCAACCGAACATGATTGCCACTCAATGCCTCTTTTGCAAACCACAGCACCCAAAAGGAGAGAGAGAACAAAAGGGAAAGCCCTGCCACAGGGGTGGGGTGTGATGGGGGAAATGGAGGGGTGGGAGGGATACTGGGAGTACTGGAGGTGGCGAATGGACACTGGTGGAGGGATGGGTATTTGATCATTGTATAACTGAAACCCAAGCACAAAAATTTGTATGTCTACAACAGTACCTCATAGTGTCTCACTAATAAAAATTTAAATAAAAAAAAGTAATAAAATAAAAATGGTCCTCTAAATCTGGTGTTTGCATACTGCAGAGAGGCCACGTTTGTGCTCCCACTGGGAAGATCTGACAATATCAAGAATGAAAATACTGATTCCCATCAATTACATTCATTACAGGCTGAGTGCCATCTAAAGCTTGGAACATTTATCAGAGAACAATTCTAAGTCCAACCTCATAAGAAAATGACCCAAAGGTTGGTAAGGCTAAACTGCCAGGGCAACAAGTCCCATTTAAGGTGTTTCAAATGAACTAGATGAGACTAGACCCTGATTTGTTCAAAGACAGGTTCTATACTGCAAACGCACACCAGTACAAGAGTATCTCTAACCTGGAATATCCAGAGTCTCTTCCCGACAGATTTTCCTTCTCCATGTCACTGCACCCCTAACTCCATTCTCACACAACGCAAGAGATGGTGACCCTTTTTTCATAGCTCTCCTTTGATTGCTATCAAATTGCCTGAGCACTTCACAGTGGCCAACAAAGTCCTGTCATCTGCCCCAATCCCCACCTGTCTTAGCTCTGACTCCTGGTTCCGCACTGGCTTCTTGCTCATTCCTGTGTAGTCTTGACCCATGAGGTTAGACAGCTTGGCATTTACTACAAATTTCTCACCTCTCTGAAATCTCCTCAGACCTTATTTTCTCGATGGAGCATACAGAACTTCTTTGAGTCATGATGGGGCTATGAAATGACAAACCACTGTAAATTTAAAATATCTTAAACCAGGGCCAGAGCGATAGGACAGCGGGTAAGGTGTTTGCCTTGCATGTGGCCAACCCAGGTTCTATTCCCAGCATCCCATATGGTCTCCCAAGCACCGCCAGGAGTAATTCCTGAGTGCAAAGCCAGGAGTAACCCCTGTGCATTGCTGGGTGTTACCCCCCGCCCCCCGCGCCAAAAAAAAAGTCTAAACCGAAAACGCAAACGGGAGATGGCGTGGGCATCCAGGGTACACTCAAGGTATATGCAGAGCCCTGATCTGATCCCTGACCGGTCCTGAGCATCATTGTATGTGGTCCTGCTGGTCCCAGTACCGTTATGCCTGAGGAACTATCAGCTGGCTAAGCAATGCACCATCAGGCCTGGCGGACAGATCATTACTTGGAATGTCGCCTTCACCCCCATACCCAGTGAACACAAGAAAACCATCTAGCCCACTGAACAAGATAGGCTCTCTACCCTATCTAAAATGTGCATGGTATACTTACACCTGCTTACTGTCAGGCAAAATCATATACATTCAAGTTGTACTCAGGTACCGAGTGTATCATGTACTTTACCGAACACTGTCACGAAAGTGACAGAGAAAATGCCGTGCATCCTGGTGAATGTGGGGCTGACTGGAAACTGTGCTCACTGCCCCAGTACTGCACTAGTCACACATCACTAGCTGGGCAAAGATCAAAATTCAAAACTTCAAATACAGTTTCTACTTAAGCCTTATAAACTTCACCATGTGCTCCTGAAGTCAAAGTAATGTTAGTTTCTGTAAGTCAAGATTTTTGTGTACTCTAATCACCCCCATTTAATTCTATAATTTCCCTCCTTACTGCACTTATACTTTCACTTTGTCCATGGCAACTATCATCTAAAAAAATGTTAATTTACTAGATTTGCTGTTTTTCCTCCTCTGCTGGATCATCATCAAAAGGTAGACTCCAGGATCATCGGGAAGCCTAACTAGGCACGTAAGTAAGTTGGTCTGGAGAAGGGGCTTCAGGCTACACCGCATCTCAACTTCTCAAAGTACCAAGTACAAACAGTGACCCAGAAACTATGAATAGGACGTTACAAGGCACAGGGGTTTTAAGATTACTAATAATCTGAATTCAAAATAGCAGTTCTTCTGGATTATCTAGGTGAACCCCAAGAAATTACAAAGGACTTAAAGTGGAAAAGGAATGCCAAAGAGTGCCCCATATGGTCCCCCAAAGCACCGCCAGGAGTAATTCCTAAGTGCAGAGCCAGAAGTTAAGACCTCAGCATTACTGGGTGTGACCCAAAAAGCCAAAATAAATAAATAAATAAATAAAAATAAATGACTTTCTTCTTAGAGCCTCCAGAAAAAAAAAAAAAAAGCCAACATATGATTATAGCTCAGGAAAGCCCCACTTCAGCCCACTTCAGATTTCTGACTTGAGCAACTGCCTGGTGTTTAAAGCCACAATACATTGTTAGAGAAGTAGGGAATAATCTTTTCCACTTACAAGGACATGGGTGTCTCAGCTCCCAACAGGCCAAGAGAGATTTCTGACAACTAAGTTTATAACAGCTGGCACGGAAACAGACGACGAGCAGGTAACAAAAGTCCTCTTCATCCAGGAAAGGATGTACTCACACAAGCCTCCTAAGACCACCTGGGCCCCTCTGCTTAATCAGCCTCGATCAGGCCCCGCTGGTACTAACTAGATCCCAGAGGACTTGTTGGGATGATAAAGGCTTTGGTTCTCTTTCCTATCACTGGCCCTTCACTCCTTGGTGAAGCTTATTTCTTAACTGATATATATGTAAAGTAGCGGAACTCCTCCTGAAAATGAGAGAAGTAGGTGGTGGCCCATTTGGGGTCTATCTTGTTAAATAATAAGTTCCACAAGGGCAAGAATAATGTTTTGTCTATAAACGTGTCTAAAGTGTTCTAAACAGTGTTCACACATTTTTGGTACTCAATTAATATCTGCTGAATAAAACGACTGCTATGAGTATTATTCCATACCAGACAGAACTGATTTGATACCTTTTCAAGACTATTTACAAAAAATTATGTAGCTAAAGGAAGAAAATGGTGAGGGTATTTTTTGTGATCTAAAGCTAGAAAAAGATAACTTAAGATTCCCTAAACACAAACCATTAGGAGAGTCATGAATATTTTCCACTACGTAAGAGTTTAGGCTTTCGTGGCTAGAGGGTGGGTAAAAGAATTTCCAATATCCAAAAGTAACTAGTAACTAATGATTCAAACAGGCAATGGCTGATGACAACCTATCAGAACAAATTAAAAAAAAAAAAAGTCACCAGAAACTTCTCCCAAGAGGTGAAACAAAAATGGCTAAAATAAAGAATCCTAAAATCAAATAATTCTAAAATACAATTTACAACAAGTACTAGAGCCAAAGAGAGTTAAATGCTTATTTAGCAGAGGAGTGATCCCAGTTCAATCTGCCACATATGTTACTCTAAGCACTGAGCCAGGCTGATCTTGTCCTGGCTGATACTGTAGAGACAGGAGAAAAAATAAAAAATCAAACAGTACTAGCACAAATCAAGCAAACTTGCCCTGAGATATGCCTTCCAGAGATGCCTGAAGATCAGAGTAATCCTGGCTGTCACTCTTATCCTATTAGATTCATGCTGATAACGGGAATCCAAAGCAGTTTTGGGAGCTACAGTTGGCAGCTTGGCTAACAGAAGGTACATTTTTGTATCACAACACAAAAAAATGTGAAGAACTCATACCATGCTACATTAGTAATCATAACAAGGAAACTGTTGGGGAAACTTAGGAAGACAGAAACTTAGCAAGACAGAATGAGGGAAAAGATGGAATGTGCAGAAACCAGGATACAGAGAACCAGAAAACTGGCGCTCGAGTGGAAAACCTGAGGCTTGGGCCCTGTGACTACTTGTTTCCCCCCAAGAAATAATCTCATCAAACAAGCCACAACAAATGTTAGTCCCAATAACACTGAGCCCCTCCTTATGCGTATGTAAATAGGCTTTAGCCCTGTTAGACTGAGATAGTTAGGGCATGTGACCCAAGAATGTGGTTCTCCTCCCCCTAATGGTTCTTGAATCAAAGAAGTTATTGACTGTGAAGGACAGTAGAGGCCCAGTCCACGAGGTTACTATCCCTCACCCCACGCGTTTTCTTCTTTCTCTTGGTTTCTTAATCCTTCAAGTATCCGAAAAACTAGAAATACACATCAAGAAATAACCAATCAGAAGGTGTGTAAACAGGGGAAACTGTGGCTCCCCTAAATTTACACAGGAAAAAGGAGGTGCCCTTAAAAATATATCCTGGGGGCAGCACGGTCAGTGGGGTGGGGCATTTGCCTTGCATGTGGCCGACCCGGGTTCGATTCCCAGCATCCCATATGGTCCCCCAAGCACCACCAGTGATTCCTGAGTGCAGAGCCAGGAGTCAGCCCTGAGCATTGCCGGGTGTTACCCAAAAAGCCAAAAATAATGTATCCTGTATTTCCTCTCCCGTAATAAATCAACCCTCAAAACCAAGTATAAGGATCCCTGAACACTTTTTTTTTTTTTGGAGAATCCTAACTAATCTTTCACTTTCAATCCTCCAAATTTAGCCTGGATGCAACGGAAAGATGCATTGGGAAACTGTCCAAATCTAAGCAGGTTTTGGCGCACCCGGAAAAGAATTCTGCAGCATCCTAAATCAATACTTCAGAAAACAGGAGAGCATTACTTGGTCCCTTGCCACTTGACGGCTCCCCTCTGACACCTGGCTTCTCCCGTTTGAATCTACCCAGTGGTTCAGAACACTTCCCAAAATGGACAGAACTGAACATTCTGGAAACAGCTGGCATGCTTGATTACAAAGTCCAGAGCAATTTTTCCCAAAACAAGAGAATAAAGGAGACATAAATATAATTGTGATCCAGAAGTACCTGCAGGACCAGCTGCAAATTTTCCCATGTGTTGACAGACGCTGCTAAAGAGTTGAAAAAAATAAGCCGTGGGGCAGGGGAGGCGCAGGGAAAGGAAGGAGCAGAGTGCTCTTGCCAGTCTGGAGAAAGGTCAGAACTAGATGACCCCGTAGGCAGGTGGGGGTCATTACCTGGTGACAGGACTTCCCTCCAGATTCCCTGTAAGCTACAAGTTTCAATAAACATCGAAAAGAAATCATTTAGCAAATATTCCCTGCACATGCTCTGGCGACTCCCCGATATTTTAACTTCTAACTCAACTATTTTTTCTTTCTACCTACTACATACGGGCTCCACACCCTTCCTGACAAACACTTGCCTCTAGGAACGCCATCCATCCACGCCAAATTCACTTTCACGCACCTCGTGGTCAAAAAAATTGCTTAAAAAAAAAATTAAGCCTGGAAACTCTGGAACCAACCTGACAACGGAAGCCTAAAGGATTCGCTTAAAACACAGCTGCTGCAGCTTCAGACATCAGAGTACCCCCAAACTGTTGCCATCTCTCTCTCTTTTTTCTTTTTCTTTTTTTTCTTTTTTTTTTTGGACTTCGTTCTAAAACTCTTGTTCATCTTAGTCGAGACCAGCGCTCCTCCCAACAGTCAGACCCAGGGCGTGGATCTCCTCTCACTCCCTCCACATCCCGGTGCCAGGGGCGGGCGGGCGGGCGTGCGGCCGTGTTCGCCGCCCCCGCCGCCGCCTCCTCACCCATCAGGATGCTCCAACGGGGACCCCGCCAAACGGTTCCCTTTCCCAGGACCACCACCCCACCCCCAAACTTTCCAGACTCGGGCCCCTCGCCTCACTTCCGGGCTCCGGCCAGAAGCCGGCGAGCGCCCGGGAACATACGAGCGGGGCCCGGGGGGGAGTGGGGGAGGGAAAGGGAATGGGGAAAAGGGAGGAGCGGGCGGCCCGGGCCCGGGGGGTCCCCACGGCCCCGCGCCCCCCGCGCCCCTCCCCTGCTCCCCGCCCCTCCCCACCCGGCTCCCTCAAGTCTCCACGAACGGAAATGGGAGTCGCGGAGCCGGGGACCAGCGGAAACAAAACACAGAGGCGGGCGCGGGGGGGCGGCGGCGCGGGGAGAGGGCCCCGGAACCAGGCCGGAACCAGGCCGGAACCAGGCCGGCCCGCGCCCGCCCGCGCCCGCCCGCCCGCGCTCCCCGCCCGCACTCACCGCGCTCCGCAGCCGGCCCACAGCAGCAGCAGCGGCGACGGCGGCGGCGGCGGCGCGGGGCTCCGCGTGCAGCGTCTCTCCCGGGGAGACGTGCAGCTCCCGCCACTCCCGAGTGTGAGGCCCCCTGGGCCCTTCCCGCGGAATCGGCGCCGACCAACTCCAGCCCCCCCCCCTCACCACCACCCCCCGCCTCCCAGGCACCCCCGGGCCCAGAACTACAACTCCCAGCAGGCCCCGCGCCGGCAGCCCCCCGGGGCAACGGAGGCTCCCGAGGCACATGGCAGCACAACTCCCTGATCCTCTTTGTTTGACATGCTCGCTCTCCCTGCACCGGCCTCCACGTCAACAACCCTCAGACACAGGGCGTTGATTCCGGGGAATGGGAGAAGTGGGGGACCGGCGTGGGGGGGGAGAGGGGGCGAAATCAAAGTAGGGGAGGGGGAGCAGGCGAGTGAAAGTTGCGCATGCGTACACCACCGGGTTGCCCAGCGTGGAAAAAGAGCGGGTCAAGTTAGGCGAAGAAAAGATGGCGGAGGCTGGGCCAGGGGACCCGGAAGCACTTACTCTCCACTTCCTCCTCCTGTTTGGCTTCTGTCTCACCTAGAGCCGTCCGGTCGCGGAGTGTCTCCGAGACGCTTCCTGTCCGGTGAGCGCCGACCGACTGCAACGGCGGCCCATGATGCATTGCGATGGCGGGTGGGCGGGCAGGGGCGGAGCTAGGGCCGGAAGTGGAACGGTGGCTGCTGCGGCGGTGGCGGTGGCGGCGGGGATGGCTTTGGCAGCTTGGGATGCAGTGCAAGGTACCTGGGATGGGAGCCGGACCGCCTTTGACCGCTCGGGACATCGATTCCGGCTCTCTGCTCGGGTGCAAGGTGACACTGTAGGGAAGCTGGCTTTCGGGACTTCGGCGTGTTGGCTGTGTTTTCGGGATCCGGCCCGGCCGTTGTCCCTCACCTCTGTCCCCGCGGAAAGTGCACCCAGCCCGGGTGCCTGGGACCCGGGCGCGTGTCGGCCTTGAAGCCTGCGCGGAACTGAGCCTCGAGCCCTTTTCCAGGGCGATCCTGATGGCGAGGGACGCGGGGAGGCCGGGCCGCGGGTGGGAGGAGGTAGTGTCCCCTACTCGAGATGTCCAGGGTCATGGCACGCGCGCGGGGCTGTGGTCAGAGGGGCCTGCCCGGGCGCCAAGATTGTTCAGAAGCGCTGCAACAGTTTTCTCCCGTAGGAGAGAAACGGTGTCCTGGAAATGGGAATGTCCACCCCCCCCCCCAAAAAAAAAAATAGCTGGCACCAAAGCCAGGCAGCTTTGCTTTCCCCGATCGGTCTTTGCGACCCAATCCCGGGAGCAACGGGGTGGAGCTTAAACCTGGGACTGGCTGAAGTTCTGAGCGCCCAAGGGGGAAAAGAGGTTCCCGCTGCGGGCTGTGAACCGATTTAGGGATGCGCGCCTAGGGATGCACTTAGGGATGCGCTTAGCGATGCGCGCTGAAAGGGAGTGCGCTGGGGCCTGGGCAGGTAGGGGGCTTGCCTTGTAAGCGGCCAACCCGGGTCGGGTCGGACACACCGCACCCCTTCTAGCTCCAGAAGTCCCCCAGGAGTGATCTCTGAGCGCAGAGCCAGGTGAAATCTGAGTAAAGTCGGTGTGTCGTTGCCCCTTCCAAGGAAGAAAAACAAAAAAGGGGAGTGCATAGACTGAGCTTTGGCTCTTTCCTTAAAACGATAAAGAAATCAGCCACCTTCCCATGCTGGGCCTCAACACAGGCTCCACCTTTTCGTGCTGTTGCACCCCCCAATTTGGTCACCTCGTCAAATGCCAGATCCCCGTCAGAGGCCAGGTAGCACCCCACAAATGCTTAGATTATTACGGTCGATATTTTACACGTGTCTTCTGCATGGTATGGTTTGTGGGTCCTGTGAGACTTAGGGAGAGATGAGGAATAGATTTGGAGGAATAGATAGAATTCAGGGAAAAGATCAAAGTAGATTCATTACGCATAGAATTCCTGGCCTGTGTGGAGACTTTTCGGGTATTTTTCCCTGGTGGAGTATGAGTGATACATGATTAGTTCCTTCCAACAAGTGCCATTTTATTCTGACAAGAGAAGAGTTATAGGGGCTCTGTAGTTTGACGCAGCAGATGTTTGTGGTGTTCCAGGGCCACTCACCCTTGTTCTATTGACCCGCTGTCCGACTGGCTGTCCTTAGTGCAGGAAGGCTGGTGTTCTCATCATCCAGGGCGTTAGGCAGCGGCTCTGCCCTTTTACCCACTAGCGCTGCGAATCGCTTCCCGAGAGGACACCTGAAAAGCTCTCAGAAATTGCCACATATCCCAGAGGACACTCCCACCCCTCTGTGAAAGTCACTGGGCCACACTGTCTCCCAGCTTAGTGCTTCTCAGGGGAAAAGGGCCGTTTTCTCCCCAGCCTTAAGTGGATAGTAGGGACAGTCAGATTAGTCGTGGAGTTTCTAAGTGCCTAATCCCAACCTCTGGATTCTTAGTGAATTGGTTAGTGACAGTTGTGCTCCAGCTCTGGTCTCGGGCCACACTCTGCACAGTCTTCTACCCCAGCAGAAGTCCAGAGCCTGTGTGAAAGGGATGGTTGTGGTAGTTACTAGCTTCTTGTGCAGAGAGGGGATATGGGAATGATGTTAGCATGACAACTTTGTGCTTGGCCTTTAAGAAATTTTGCCTGGCTCTGAGGAGGTGTGAGTCTTTGGTCACTTACAGCATAGGGTTCGGCAAAGCCTTGAGTTTCATGAACTCAGGCTTTTTCAGTCTGAAGGGCGTTTCTCTGTATATAGTCATCTCTTCCTTTTGGAATTCCATCTGCTTATATTTGAGATGTTTTTGTATTTTCTCCATCCAGACTCTAAAATCTCCACTGTGATTATCAACTGCTTTGGTTTGGTTTTTTGTTTGTTTTTGTTTTTAACTTAAACATTTTTGTGTTTTCAGCTTTAGCAGTAATTCCTTATTTTAAAAACTCAAGCCTTGCATCTCATTCACAGATTCAGATTTTTTACGGATCAGGTTGTACTGCCTGTTTTACCCTTTCCTTTGGCCTTCTTGGGTTTCAAACAACTTTTCCTGTTCTTTTGAATTTGATTTCGTTGTGACCATGTTCTGCCCTTGTAATTGGCGCATCAGTCTCCAATTGATGTGTGCATGTGAAGAAGTAATTCCAGAGTGTCGGTGCCGCCTAACCTGCGCTACCTTTTTACTTATTATTTAATAACTTGTTTTTGAGACTCTGTACTCAAGGATCACTCCTCGTGGGCTTGGGGGACCATATAGGGTGCGGGGGGCGGGGAACCCATGGATCTGCTGAGTGCACAGCAAGTGCCCTGCTCCCCCCCCTCCTTCCCCTCCCCCCCCTCCCCTTCCCCTCCCTCTTCTCTGTCTCTCTTTGTCTCTGTCTCTCTCTCTCTGTTTTTGGGCCAAACCTGGTGATGCTCGGGCCTTACTCCTGGCTTTGCACTCAGGAATTACTCCTGGTATTACTCCTTACTTGGGGAACCATATGGAGTGCCTGAGATCGAGCCTGGGTTGGCTGTGTGCATAGTAAATGCCCTACTCGCTGTACTATTTCTCTGCTTCTCTCTCTCTCTCTCTCTCTCTCTCTCTCTCTCTCTCTCATCTCATGGTGTATTAAAGTCATTCCCTGAGGATTTACTGAGCTGTTTGGTGCTAGTTGAGCCTTTTGTATTCTTGTTTTCACTCACTGAGTTTCATGGACTGCTACCCAACTTTTCCCTCTGTGCTCCTCCTAGGCTGTCCATGTTGTGGGATTTCAAGGTGTCAGCAGCAGAACCAGGAAGAGTCTGGCTTGGCCTCTCTGTGTGGGGAGAGGAGCAGGCTGCCCACCCCCACTCCAAAAAGACCCCGCAGTTTTCAGCCTGGAAACTGGTGTACCTGGAGTTTCATTGGCTTGGCTTTTTTTTTTTTCTCTCTGAGATTCCCCCTTTTCACTTTCTGAGGGCATCAGAAAAACCTGGCCCAGACTGAAGGATACTCACTGGTCACTGCATCAAGTACTCTGGGTTTGACCCCCCCAGTCCCTGCATGGAGACCATGGTACCGCTGGGTACCACCCAGATAGAGCCTTGAGAAACTTAACTGGTTGTGATCCAGAAACTAAAATAATAAATAATAAAAACATAAAGTGGGACATTAATTTGAGAGCCAATGTTCATCTGTCTGTCCTTCCTTCCCTTTTCTTTTTTTCTTTTTCTTTCTTTCTTGAACCACAGTAAAATACAGTTACAAAGTTGTTCATGATTGGGTTTCAGTCATATAATGTTCCAACACCCGTACATTTCCCAGTACATTTCCCACCACCGATATCCCTAATTTTCCCCTTACACCTACCTACCCCTTCACCCTCGTCTGCCTCTGTGGTAGGCCTCTCTCTCTCTCTCTCTCTCTCTCTCTCTCTCTCTCTCTCTCATTATGGTTTACAATACAGATACTGAAGTGTCCCTACTTTAACATTCAGTTCTTGTCCAGAGTGATCATTTCTAACTATTGTCATACTGGTCCCTTCGCTATTCTAACTGC